GTTTTTGTCAGTTGGACTGAAGAAATAGGAATGTCAACTCATTACCCATTCTCTTTTGTCGTGTCATATTCATTTAATATATATATATATATATATATATAACTAGAATCGCAAAGGGGATCCTGAAAATGACATATGTTTTTAATACAATTTTGATTGATGTATTCATTTTAATTTTTTAAATATAAATAAAATTATTTTTTAAAAAAATTTCTATATTATTTAAACTTTTTATTAATCCACTTATTTATAATTTATAATTTTAATTTTAATTTTGATTTTGAAAGTATAAATTTTATTAACTTATTTATTTATAATCTTAAATATTTAATACTAAATTTAAGAGAATAAAAAAATTATTTGTACCTTCCTCATCTTCAAAAATTCCTCTACTATCCAAACTTTACAACTCCTAACATATAATTTTAAATATTTTCTGTTTTGAAAATTTCATAAAATTTGAGATTTTAATTTTAAACACTTTTATGAATAAATTTAAATTTAATTTTTAAACATTGTCCCTATGTAATTTTGCTTTATTTATTTTTTATTTTTAAATTTTTAAATATAAAGAAAACTACCTCACTTCCTAAATATTTACATTATCTCAACTTTCTATTAACTTATTTATTTGTAATTTTAAATTTTTAATGTAAATAATAATGAAATAATGTATATGCTCCTCATTTCCAAAAATCTCTCCACTATCCAGTTTATCAAAAAAAAAAAAAAAACTCTCTACTATCTAAATTGACCAACTTTTAACTCATAATTTTAAATTTCAATTTAAAAAATTTTGTGTTTTAAAAATTTTGAAATTTTAATTTTAATTTTAAAAATTTTACAAAAAACTCATAATTTAAAATTTTTATTTCCAAAATATTAGTATACTTTTAATTTTAATTACTCATAATTTAAAATAAACATTAAATTACCCCACCCTTAAATATTTCTACATTATCTCAATTTGTCAAGCCACGTTTTAAATTTAAAGTTGAATTTTATTTTTTTATATTAACACTAACTTGTCAAACATGGGTAGTGTAGTTACATAAGATAGGGTAGTTGCAAAATGAGCTATTAAATGGGTCGGTTGTCACTTTTTTTAATGTTGTGCAAATTATAAATTTATAACTATCATATTCTCTTTATAACTCTTGCAATTTGAAGGCTGCAAACCTTCCTTTCTGGAATTAAAGATAGAGACTAGCCATTTATATATGTTGGAAGGTAAAATTTTTAATTTGAATTCTCAAAATTCTCTCTTATTTCATTAAACATGATTTGTTTTTGACTCTCAATGATTTTGATTTTCTTTGCAAGTAAAGTTTGTTTTGAGATCTCCTCCTACGACAAAACATAAACGAAAGATAATTTACAAAATTTATTGTGAATTTTAACCATTCTCCTTTGAAACAATATGAAAAATTTCCTAACTATAATTACTGTTGATGCAATGAAGCTGGAGTTGAAGATAATGAAAAAAGTGCACAAGCTTTGTCACATGAATGTGAGTCTTGCTTATTCTCTAATTTTGTTTTTGTCCTTTTAATTATAAGCTTGAAGATATGGACTTGAATCATCATTTTTACAAACTTTGTTTATGTGCTTCTTTTGTTTACGTGTTATTTAAGTAATTTTTAGCTTTGCATTCTGGTTTTTAAGATAGAAAAATAAATAAAAAATTTGCATATTTCACCAAAAAGGGAAAATAAAGAAATGGAATTTTTTTTATATTAGAAATATGCGTTCTCCTTTATTGTCCCTTTTTAAATTTATCTTTAAATATTGTCTGTCTTATCCATTCCTTCAAAATCATCAAACTATCTGTAATTACTTTTTTCATAACCACATTTCAATGTTTGTCATTTCCTTTCTGTAATTTGGTTGTTTTTTTATCATAAAATCTCTAACTTGATGAAATATAATGTTATTTGAGTTAAAAGGAATTTGGTTCTTTAAGTAATTGTATAGCTTTCAATTTTTAATGAGACATTGTATTGGGTCACGTTGAATATGAGTATAAATTATTTTTTTATAGCAACTAAAATGTCAATATGCCTCTAGAGTTCATATCCATATATATATATATATATATATATTTATAGAGTTTGTAGGTAAGAAATTGTTGTTCGAGGTATCCTTTCTTAGGGAGACTGCTTCATCATACCTTGTGATCAATATAAACGTTCTCTATTTATAGAATCCATAACAATATTTGTTCAATGTTCTTATCAATTTTTTCTTTTAACTAATGAATATTCAATTCACTACATCTAGATTAAATTATTCTTTTGATGCTTAATTTCTTAATTACACTATACCTCATCATGCATGTTAATGGTGTATGTTCTCATGAATTAATAAAACATTACTTTGGATATGAACCAACAACACCATTTCCTACTTACTAATCTCTTATCTTCTACATGTACATGTTACATTGTTCCACGATGTCCTCCACTCCTCTTTAAAATGTGTAGCACCTAGGAGTTTTTGCAAATTGAATATGAAGGTGTAAATTTTTAAAGCTTATTATCAAATGACAAGCATGGATAAAACATTTCATTTGAAGAAAATGAGCATGCACTTGCCACCACTACTATTTCCAACAATGCTAAAAGAAAATTCAAATGGAGCTAGTCGATTAGCAATGTGTTTCTATGTTTTCATGTTTTAGTGTTTCTACTAATATTTCTTTGTTTTTGAGAATTTAGAGTTAAAAGTTTAAGATTCTTTTTCTTTTTTCTAACAAAGTTTAGGATTCAAACATTTTCTTTGTCTACGGTTCGTCCCTAGCATGTGTAAACAATATTTTTTATTATAACATATTTATAATGATGTTCTTCCCTACTTTGTGCCAACCATTTCCATATCATACAATGGTCACAAAAAAACTGAATTGCCCATTTTTTTTAATTATAAGCTATTTCATGCATTAAAATATGGGATAGCACATTTCGTTTTTAAGCATCAATAAAGTTAGGACTCTTTCTCTTGAAAAATTTTTTTATATTATTTGATAAGTTTTAAATGCTAGAGTTTCCTCACTCTTATGTAGGTTATATTAAAAACAATTAGTGAGAGCAAAATAACACCAAAGAACATACAATAATAAAAGCATGTTTGTGAGAGAGAGAGTATATATATATATATAAAGTTATTTAGATATTAACAAAAAAGTTACCTTCACTTTATAACATCTTAAATTTTTAATTTTTTAATCATCATTTTTTTCACATCCCGTGTATTTTACGGGCTACATACTAGTTAACCAATATAGAATGAGACAGTGGAAGAGAGGGGAATATGAAATAAAAGAAAGGGATAAAAATTATTTTTTATCAGCCAACATAAAGAGGTTTCAGAAAGAAGGTTCTAAATCGATATTATTTTGATTTTCTTATGAGATTCCTTTGTTATTTATGCAAAATGGTGAGAAGAAAAAATTTACTAAAATATTATTTTTAAGTAAGCTAAGAATTAATTATAAATTTTTTATAATTATAAGTGAATATTTTCATTTAAATATAAATTAATTTTATATTTCTTATATGTATATTATTTAAAAAATTAAATTAACATGACCAGTTGAACCACCCATGCCCTGCACCTCGCAAACTTTGCTACTAACAAATTGGTAAAACTATTAGCTTCCCTGTACACAAATCTGAAGAACTATCTGAGATAACCCATCTTCTTAACCTTACCCTGGGGCCTTTTTTTTTAATGTAATCTTCGAATCTTGGATCAGGTCTTCAAAATTAGCATCTTGATATATGGATGTCTTGACCTTTTTTTTTTTTTTTTGAGGGGTAAAGTTGTGGCCTGATGACCAAGACTATATTGATAACAAACTGAATTTGAATTGATATAAAGCGTAAATATGAGAAAAAATCCTGCCCACACAATCACAAACCTCTTGTTTTCAAACTTGTCCATAGCATAGATTCTCACCACTTGGGTTTAGTTCAATGCTGTCATGAAATGGATTTGAATTTTGTTGTTTTTTCTTTTTCATTAAATATATAATACGGATAATTGATTGAAGCCAAGGCCCCCAAAAAAGAATTATCAGAAATAAAAGGTGGGTCATGCAGCTCTCAACTCAAAACATCTAAGCTTGCTCATAACGTCACAAACCTCTCAACTACCTTCATTTTCCTTCTCCTTCTTTCTGCAATAATCCCTCATTATTCTGAGCCAGAGGTACTACTCAGTTTCACAAGTTGCTTGCATGGAGCAGCTGGCCATTGCAAACGACAGACAGGTGAGTTGACTTGCCAATTTGATTGTGGTTAACATCAACTACAGGACCACGAATGCACCAACCATAATTGGATAATATAATTAATCTTAGCTTAAACCCTTCTCCTCATAATACCTTGATCAACTAATTAATCGCACGTTTAGTTAAACTCCGATAACACATGCATCAACCATGTTTAGTTCAACCTTCCTCAAGTCCACTAGCTTTATAAGTATGAACTACTTTCAGGAAGAAGTGCTTAAACATAGAAATTTAAATTTTACATATGCATTAAAAACATATTTTCATAAGTATAATTTAAAATATTCAAAACCGAATGAAACAAAATCAGATGCTAGCTTCAGAGAAGTCTAGGCAGGAGGCACAATTGCACAAGGCTCTCGTTATAAAAAAAAAAAAAAAGACTTTTAGAGATGGTAAAAAAATCTTTAATGACAAAAAACTTTTGATAGCAACAAATGTTGCTTGTTAAAAATATACATTTGATAATGATTATATTTGTCACAGTCAAAAAATTATTAACGATGAGACTTTTAATAAAAAAAATTTAATGACAAGAAGTTACTGCAGAAAACTTTTAATGACACCTATCGAGTTATTTGTGGCAATTTTTTATATATCGCTAAAGTAATTGTTATTATTATTTTTTTCGTAATGTCTGGTTATGAAAGCAGGAACGAAGAGAGAATATACAATCATATTATTAATTATTATATGATAATTTTCGCATATATTTCTCTACAACTTGATTCACATTCAAGGATTACTTTTCCCCAAAAAATAACTTATATTACAAGTTTACGATACATTTTCCTGTCATGTATAAATCTTTCTCCCATGTGGTTTGACAAATTAACACTCCCTCCGTAGTCCGTACACAATAAAGACACGAAGAAACACAAAGAAAGTTCAGCACCCTCCTGAACCGTCTATGTACATTTCAACGAACCCCAACATCACAACAGTCATAAATCGTAACATAACTACGTGACAATTTCCCTCCTTTCTTATCTTCACAGGTCCACGCACAGTCACTATCCTTTCTTCCTCTTCTCTTTTTCTAATAATAACCCACCAAGGACCATGCCCTCCTCCACCACAACTGCTTCCATCTTCTCCCTCATAACCCTGCTTCGAACGGTACACCGGTGCCGGCAATCCACGACTCACCAGCCAGAAAATTCCCCACTGTGAACTTTCCGGCCTCCGTGGGACTCGTGATCACATGAAACCCTGGCCATTTCACCCTCCGCCAGTGGCGGCTCCGCCTCCAGTATTCATATATTCACCGTAATATAGAGTCTTCAGGGCGAAGCTCCCGCTCCACGGCATCCACCCCGCCGGGTCTATCACCCTCACACCCGCCGTCCAGGCTGCTCTTCATGACCACCGTCCTCGAGTATTCCTTCCACGGCCTTCCTAGAAGGTCTTGAACGAGCTCTGCACCGGCTCATCTCCGATGACGCAATCACGCTGCAGCCGTGGAGAATAATGCCGGTGTTCTCGTTTGGGTCGGATCTCCCCTGTGCCGTCACTGTGTTCTGCTGGTTGCTCATTGGCCTCCTCACGTAGATGTTGCAGTTCTGGAGGATAGCAACGGCGTCGCCGAAGATGAAGTCCACGGTGCCATAGATATCGCAGTTACGGTAGAATTGGCGCTGTGAGTAGACGTATAAGGTGTCTTGGTAGCCCTTGAAGCTGCACCGGTAGAACACTGAGTGGTCGGCGCCGGAGCGAAAGCCACCGCCTGGTGCTTCCCAGGCCCGGCGGTGTTCTCGAAGGTTATATCTCGGGCGATGAAGTTGTCTCCAGAAACAGCTATAACAATCAAAGAGATTTTCTTCAAGTGAGCTCTTGAAAAATTAATAGCAGATTTATTTCCTATTTCGAAATATCAAATATTATTTGTTTGGTATTTTCTTTTTCAGCTGTTGTTTCACCTGATAAGAAATTAAAAAGTTACAAAAGTCACTTGTTTTGATGAACTTTAGACAATTCATGTTGCCCAAAAGTAGTACTTCTTAGTCCCATTCTTTATGTGGGACCAAGTGATGATCATATTCAATTCCTCATTATTTAACTTCGCTTATAGAACTATTTTTTTCTGGCCTGGCAGGATTAATTTGTTTCTTAATATAATATATTTCTGCCTAAATATTACCCAATGTCAATAACATGAAATTGATGGAATACACACACACACACACTCATATATGAGCAGCTGTGTGTGTGTACTGACGAATGGCCTGGATTTAATTTATACATTTTGAATTTTATAATGATTTCTAAATAAATTTTAATATTTGATCATAAATGATTAAATTTAAATACAAATCTTGTTTAAATTATAATTAAAATTACAAAAAAAAAACTCCAGAGAGAATTCGAATATTTCTATTAAGATAACAGTAAAATCTAGAGAGTCATAAATTTTGTCATTACAGAGAATTCAAGTATTTATTAAGCTGATTACTGTTCCTTCGAGTTATAATGTTATATAATAAGACTTACCAAAAGTAGCGGAACGAAAAGTGGTGGTTTTCTTGAGCATCCTTGTTAGCCGAAACGACGGTAACACCAATCCCATCTCCCACGATCATCAGGTTCTTCATTGTCCTCTTTATCACTACGTTCTCTTCATACACACCCCCCTTTACGTGCACCACCACTCTCCTCCCTCCGCCGCCGCTCAACTTACTCGCCGCCTCCACGCCCTCCGTTATCGTCTTATAGTCCCCACTCCCGTCCTTCGCCACCACAACATCAGCCTCCGCCACAGCAAGAAGCCTCCTATCCGAGCTCGAAACCCACTCGGGGAATCCCTCGAACAACAACTTTCTCCCCTCGACTATTAATTTGTTCTTTTGATAACGACGACGACGACGACGTGGACATGGCACTGGTAATGGCTAAGGAATTGCTGATCAACTTGGACAAGTTAGTGAGCATATCTGGGAGGACGTTGAGGTGTGCGTCAAGGTTGAAGTCAAGGAAGCCATTTTGGCAAGTTTGGTGTTGGCAATGGAGGCACTTAACCAGGTGAGCCCTATCGTTAAAATCCTTGAGCTCGCAACGGAGCGGTTCAGCTGGAAAACGGTGTCTTCATAGAGCTCTAGGCAATCTGTCCAGGCCAACTTGGCTCGCTTGTCTGTGAAGTGACTGTCGAGTTTCATGGCATAGACAAGCTTGTGAGCTTCAATGGCTTGGTCAAGAGTGACCTTGAGAGCCATATCATGGAAGGAAGAAGAAGAAGATAAAGTTGAGAGTGTATCGGTGGTCATGTAGTGGTTGCACACAAGAGGGTATGGAGTATGGAGGCATGATACGATGCTTCGGTACCATGCAGAAGGACGAAAGAGTACATCATCAGAATCATGGGAGCTATGGAACAGTTCAAGACAAGCTTGTCCACAGCCTCCGCCACAGCAAGAAGCCTCCTATCCGAGCTCGAAACCCACTCGGGAATCCCTCGAACAACAACTTTCTCCCTCGACTATTAATTTGTTCTTTTGATAACGACGACGACGACGACGTGGACATGGCACTGGTAATGGCTAAGGAATTGCTGATCAACTTGGACAAGTTAGTGAGCATATCTGGGAGGACGTTGAGGTGTGCGTCAAGGTTGAAGTCAAGGAAGCCATTTGGCAAGTTTGGTGGTTGGCAATGGAGGCACTTAACCAGGTGAGCCTATCGTTAAAATCCTTGGAGCTCGCAACGGAGCGGTTCAGCTGGAAAACGGTGTCTTCATAGAGCTCTAGGCAATCTGTCCAGGCCAACTTGGCTCGCTTTCTGTGAAGTGACTGTCGAGTTTCATGGCATAGAAAGCTGTGAGCTTCAATGGCTTGGTCAAGAGTGACCTTGAGAGCCATATCATGGAAGGAAGAAGAAGAGATAAAGTTGAGAGGTATCGGTGGTATGTAGTGGTTGCACACAAGAGGGTATGGAGTATGGAGGCATGCTAACGATGCTTCGGTACCATGCAGAAGGACGAAAGAGTACATCATCAGAATCATGGGAGCTATGGAACAGTTCAAGACAAGCTTGTCCATGTTGATATATTCGGGGAGCAAGATGCTTTGTTTGAAACTAAAATGGCAAGATATAGAGTAATTAATAAGAGAGGGTTTTCTCTTTGGGATTGCTTGTGAATGAAGAAACAAGTGGCGTTCTATTTATAGGCCGTGACTTGGTTTTTGGTAGGTCGTGCGTGTGTGTATCTACCAAGCTAATACTCCCTGTTATATTAGAGAGAGATTTGATTATTTCACAATTTAGGTGAGTGTGAAATCAATATCAACATCAACATATAATTTAAAAAACCAATTTTTATGTAATAAAATTCTCTTTTGATTAATTTATGTGACAGATACTAGTTTAGCTCATAGGTCAAGGATTTTGGAATTCCTTACTTGGCCTTTTTCTTTTATTGTTTTTAATCAAAGAGTCGCTTACTTTTCTAAGCACTGCCACTAATTCAATGTCTTCGCAACGTACGTGTGACTTTGAGTAAAATGAGAAAAGAACAAAACACACCCCAAAAAAAATAAAAAAAGGATTCCTTCAATTCGATATTCCTCAGCTACATCTCAGCAGTCAAATCTGATCTATTCAAATGATCAAAATCTCATGAAGATACATATCACATGGTGTTTAAAAATGCATGCCAACAATTTATTGTATTACCTCTAAGCCTATTTACTTACTCTAAAAAATAATCCTCTTTTTCATAAATAGGCCTAACTTGTAGAGACTACAGTTATTCTGTTTAAATTTGGCTTGGACTGTTTAATAAAAAGGTCAGGCTTAAACTTATAATTTAGGCTAAGCCTGTTTAATTAAAATCTGATTTAGACTTGATCTATTTTCACTCTTAGGTGATCTTTCAAAATATTTTCTTTACTCTTTAAAATAAGTTGTTGCCATTTTTAAAAAGCCATATAATGTGTGCATTGATTGAAATTTTGATCATTTGAATAAATCAGATTTGGTTGTTGAGAGACACTGAGGTAATTTGATATTCTATTATAAGTAATTTGATAATTCTTTTTTTTTAAAAAAAAATCGCAGATATTAATAGGAGGCGCTATATACCAACTTACTATGTGGAAGACAAATGACCTTTCCGGGTGGAAGTGTTTAAAAATGAATCTGGAAGAAGTTACCAGGCTTAGTTAATAAAAGCCTTTGATTAGGGGTTTTATAGTTTCCAAATTATATGGTTCTGGGTGGCTATCTATCCAGGGACCATGCACGTAAACGTTTACGTGAAAATAATATATATCCACGGCAGAGTGTTGAAGCTATAGGATTACGTTACACATCCAATTATCCATCAACTCAAGAGAGCGAAAGGAACGGAATCTGGTGGGTTTTCCATGAAGATGATGGAGATGACGATACATCGATATGAAATTAAACTTTATGGGTTTAATTAAATAACTAATTAGTAAGCCAGGCCACTAGATGATGTGTAGGTGACGTGCGTAATCCATTTCAGAAGAAGATGGGAGTGACGGATGATACATGCAAGCATGGTCCTTGAATGCCTTGTTCTCTTTCAAGACTGTAGTAAACAACCTCCTCTCGTGGCTCTTATTCTTTGATTTGATCCCCTCCAATCTCCTCCACTTAATTCTTCAATCCCACTTTTTAATCATATATCATGAATTTATGAAAATAATAAAAAACACTACGTACAAAATTACAATTCAAATTAAAGTTGATAATATTGAGGAAGGAAAATTAATTAGGTGACCACGTATTGGGATTAGGGTGCGGTGCGGTACGTGTCAAGGAAATGAATGGATGACAAAGCAGAGCGGCTGATATAATAAATTGAATTATTTAACTAAGCTGGCTTCATGGCCACGCAGTGCATGTTATGCGAAATGAGAACCATATACTCAGTTTCAAAAACACGTCGGCCTAATGATATTTGACTCGTGAAGCTATAATGGCGTTTCCATTACGTGTTGCCGTTTTCGCTTTGTTTCATTGATTTGGTGAAAAAAAGTCGTGCATGACCCTTTCTCTGAAGTCCCTCCTCCATTTCCCTTCTTTACTTGGAAAATTTAAAACCTCTCATCGCCTTAACTGATCTTCTCCAAATTCGCCGTCTATTTCACTTCTTGTCATGCCACGTGTCTCCTGTTACTTGCTCTTATCTGACTTTTTCTTTTTCGGAGTGTAATTAACTTTACGCTGTCCACGCGTTGCTGTCAATTAAGCATCAAACCTCTCATCACTATCCTTACCTTCTTAATGCATGTCATTCATGGGTTCATCCAAAAGTATAATAACCATTACTACTACTGCAAGTTGCCCACATCCCTAATTAAACGTATGTGAATAGTTTCGCCCCATATGAAAATTGAATCTTTCAACAGATCAAAACAGTGGTTCAATGAATTTACCGTGGTTGAAATAGAATTGACTGAATTATGATTAAAATAGTATAATTTAATAAAATATATAAAAAATATTCATATATAATCCTCATAGGGTAATGTTTAAATAAAAAAGACATATTAATTACCAGGTAATGGAATATTCAGGTATAAATCACATATAATTTAACAAATAAATTTTCTGAAGCATAAATTTGATGTGCTGCTATTTCTTTTCTTTTTTCTTTTTTTAACTCAAAATGATGTGAAGCTTAGTAAGCAAAGGGGAAAAATAAAATGCAACTCGATTGACTCATTCAAAACTCTTGACTAAGTTGGCTAGAGGACTAATTCGCTGATTCATTATTGGTCTGTCCGGCCAATCCAAATTAAATTTCAGTACCATGGTTCTATACCAATTTAGCCTTCACTTCTTAAAAAACTTGATTATATGCGTTGCAGTCACGTTAACTAATCTGTGTACACGTATACATGCATACATATGGGGGTGAGTGTCTTTGTCGAATTTGGAAAAGGATATTTTTTTTTCCAAGCCAACTTTTACGAATGGACAGGCAGGTGCAGCAGCACCATATAAATATGTATCTGATATGATCTTCATCTTTATTTCGTTTAATTATATATATATATATATATATATCCACAACTAAAGCTTATAATATTACAAGTAGATAACTTACACAACTACTTCACATGACGTCTACACATATAAATGTTAACAACTACGAAACCATGCGTACACTACGACCCCATCGAAGCTTGCTGGGGCGGTGCTCTAATTGTAATGTTCGATTAATCAAGCGAACAGCACCGTCTTTTTATCCGCCCATTCTACTAAATCATTATGGAAGAAAACTTGACATACTAAATAATTACACAAATATTGAAACATGTAAAATATACGACTCATGATGACATTGTCACTTAAGTATTCAATGACCATAGAATTCACATTGTTTTATATGATACGTATGATCAAATAAAAAATGGAGTAACGTAACGACATAAAGGTCAGTAATTTTTTAGTGATGAAAGATACGTACGATTAATCTCTATCATCGGCCGCTCCAAATGCAGCTTCAGATTTGCTTTCATGATGCTTTCATTTTCTGCAATAATGTTTCTCCCCACTGCAATTTCATGGTCGTTATTCAACTTTTCTTCTCCTTATCGTACCTTTCTAATACTAATTAATCAATTATACATATTAGCTGGAATCCACATCCATTTATGCTTCATCTTCACCTCCAATTTCAGCTGTCTTCCCCACCATCATAATAACGATGTCAGAATAATTCAGCAACACCACCTAAAAGATTCCAATGTTGCACGCCTAAAATTTCATATATATTATAGTTTATAAATTAAAATATTAATTCATTATCAACAAGAGCATGGCCACCCACCAAAGAATTATTATTCCCGAGTTTTACTTTTTCTTTTAGAAAATGACACGCTTTGGTTTCATGCTGCAGAGTTATGCTCCCTTGAATATTCTTTAATTCTTCATTCCATTGGAATTATTCTCCCCCTTTCAAACCTCTAATAATAATTATCGCTTCGGTATTGGTTTATCAAAAAGTGGAAGAGTGAAGTTTTCCTTCTACTTCCTTCTTTTGTCACAGATGAGTCTGTTATTATAATTATGTGAGCATTGAGGGGATATTCTATAACTAATAGCTACATCTTTTAAAGAAATATGGAGGGAGTCAAAGAAAAGATTGCTACATCTTTTAATTCAAGATCAAATCTGGTATCTGGCCTGTCTGAACCGTGACTACTCATTGCTTCAGCATATGTAAGCCTGGGAAAAGGATTTGGCAACTCAACTATTTCAAGAAAAACCTGCAACAAACACTTCCTATTTACACCCAGAACAAGAGCATATATTTAAGGTAATCAGCTAATTTAAAAGACAATCACTATCTAGTGCCCTAAACAATTTTCCAGTGCTCAGATTCGTATATAACAGCTCTCAATCACTCATATAGGTGGGAATACGGGCGGGCTCGGCCCTTAAGAGCCTAGGCCCTTAAGCTTGATTATCTATTTTTAGTCCCTTTTTCAAAGTCCGACCCTTATGTAAAGGGCTCAGGATTGGGCCCGAAAGCCCTGTTAAAAAATAAAAAATTAAAATAAAATAAATATTATAAATTAATTAAAATATTTTGAAATTAAAAAATTAAAATCCATACAATATTTTAAAAATTAAACAACATATTTAGAAATCTAAACAACACACATTCATCAATCAAAACCCAAATTCTCTTTATCCTCATCATCTGTAAATAAAACATTAGATCTCTTGAATGTAAGTGTACTTGTTGAAGAATGAAGATGGAGGTGGAAATTCAATGTCAATTACTTTTACAATTTCTTCTTCATCATCTACAATAAATATTGATCAAATTGTGTCATTATCAATCAAATATATTTATGTATGTGTGTATATATATATAAAATAATCAGGTTATTAGGGCTTGGAGGGCCTCTCGGGCCCAAGCCCCTTTTCACAGGACTTATTAAAATCCATTCGGGCTTGAAAATTATTTTTTTTCAAAGGATTTTAGAAAGATAAGGGAGCGTGTGTTTTCGTGCACTTTAGAAGGATAGGATTTTAGACACCTTTTATTTGAGAGACACAACGGCAATTGCCATGAGCTCCACTCAAAAACTTGATTGCAAGCAGCTTGTCAAGGACCATAAACCCGAGACGATGCCACCATCAAACCTGTTTAAGATGTACCTCTCATGTCAATTAGAACTAGAAGATGAATATGAAGATTCTATCACTCACCTTCCATTAGAGTTAGTGATTCTCCCTGTAAATGCCACTGCAGCTGACCTCAAGGTTGAAGCAGCAAATGCTTTCCAAGATGACACATCTCATGTTTAGAAGACTTTAAATCAATGAGGTTCTTAGCTATAGTGTTAAGGATTCCTCCTAGGTCTAGCAACTGTCAAGGTCTATGATCTAAGCATTCCAACTGTGAGGAAGATGCATAGGCAAGAACGGGCTGAACAAATTCCAAATGGAGCACAAACATACCCTTCTTGTTAGTTCTAGTGTGTTCATTCTCGTGTTGCGCGAGGAAGGGAATTTTGATTTTTGTTTAGAGTTGAGCCTGGGCATTCAGATAGACCACATTAACACCGTTTAGCACCATTAATGGCTAGAGAATTAATGTCTTGACGGTTTTCAAATTTTAGAGACTAATTTCTTGAAAAATAAACTTTAGGGACCTTGACCAACGTTGCTCGAAACTATAAGGACCAAAACCTTATTTTTTTCCAAGAAATAAATTACAAGTTTTTTCCTAAACTAATGCTATGCATATGAAATATATTATTCCAAATAACTAGGCCCATTTTAATCTGAGGTAATCTATGATGTTTCTGACTTATGAAAATTGTAGCTTCATCTAAATCTCAGATAATATATTGATAGAACATGGATTTTAATGTTCCATTAATTTTATAAAATAAAAATTAATTGACAAGAGAAATAGCCAACAACAATGAATAAAAGGTTTTTCTTTATGGGCAGAATGTATTTCTTGTAAATCAGCTTTAATGCTATTAAATACCATGGGATAACAGGCAGATTTACCCATCATGAATCATGATGTAAAAGATCAATGATAATGATAGTGAGGTCTAGATACATAAGGCAAAATATAACCCCACTGAGTGACGCATGGCAAGAGCTAACTCAGTTATAAAGTCATTTTTAGAATAATATGCTCAGTTAACTCAATATTATTTGATTAGGGGACAGCTAAATAATTATTTTATTGAGAACAATATGAGATGTGAATTATTGGATTATTTCAAAGGTTAACTTTAAAGCTGTAGAATACAAAATAACTTAAAGCCAAGCTATTAAGATTTCATTTTCTCTTGTCCGTGAATAGCATAGTAACCCATTAGACACCTTGACTGAAAGGATTACTAAGATTATCCATGCAAATGAAAAAACCAACTAACATTATCTTATGCCATTTCCAATGAGCATTTTGTTTATAGAAGTCCATGAAACTTATCCATTGGTTAATTGAACAATTAAAAATCCTATGAATTGGTCCAGTTTAACAAAAGCTTAATTGAAGCTCAAACACCCCATTTCTGCAAGAAGATATCTTAAAGGTTGATACAAGGGGGTACAGTTAACTAATTGTTGCAGTATCTGAACCAAGTTTTTTTTAGGCTAGATCTCGATATTGCAGATAAGAATAATCCAATTCATTTTGAAAATAGACCTAACATCACAGAAAACTTGAGGAATTTTAAGGTCATTGTCTTTTGCATCTTGAGCACCCATGACTGAAAAGCATAATTGTGATCCGTCAAAATTTATACAATTGTAATTTGTAGATACCTGGATTCTTGAGGGGACCAAATAATCTCGCGCACCTTCTGGAGTGGATCTAGACAGTATTGGAGTTTCAATCTACTTTGTGACCATAAAAGATAAAGATCAATACATGATGCCAACCATCAATCTCAAAGCAACATCGAAGAGGAGGAGGCACTATAACTCAAATGACAGATATAACACAGAAATGATGCACTCGCTATACATTACCTCCACAACACCATGTGTGTCTTCTAAATATCTCCGAATAAGTTTCACCACTTTATGTCGCAACAATATGTTGGAATTCATTCGGTGCCGCCTTAGATCCAGGCATCGATACCTGCCAAGAAGCAAAAATAAGCAATAGATCTCTCACAAAATTAAATGAATATAAACAAGAGGCAATACACAGTAATAAAAGGACATTCTTAAATTGTCTATGTTCCACAAAACTAATCATACAACACAAATGAAATACCTAACTTTCTAACACGGAAAACATCAATCATAGAATCAATTAAACAAAGCCCTGAAGATTCAATACCACAATATAATAGGGTATCAAGTTTGCAGACTTTTAATACATTACGATATGAGTAGTCTATTTTCCCACAAGTTAAATTAAATTAAAGACAAAGTTTTGGCATCATAATGATGAACTTTAATAGAGCAGGTACTAAAGTACATATAGATATACCAAGTACGAGCTTCATGCATCTTATAAGTACCTCAAATGAATTTCTTCTTAAGGAGATTCTTTTGCATCATCAGCTGTGTTCATTAAGAATGGTAACTTAGACTTTACAGCATTTAATATTTGAACACTCTCTGCAGCAACCTACCACACATTTGCTTGGAGCATTAAAGGGGTAAAGCAATAAATAAATCATTTCAAACTAAAGATGATAGAAAATCAAACACCCAATTGGTTTAGTACAAAATGGCTTTTTTCTTTATGTATTGAGTAATAACCAAGGAACATGGGAAGGAATTGAAAAAAATAAAGAAAGAAAAAAAGAACTTTCATACCAAAAGCAACCAAAAAAAAAAAAAAAAAAAAAACTACTATTATAACAGCACATGCCATTCTTTCTTATTAAGCTATCAAAAGCTACACATTAGGAGCAAACTTAAGCATCATATGGCTAGCAAAGACAATAAATTTTTAATTTTTTGTTCAATCTATCTCTTCCTCAAATTTGACATATATTATAAAGGAAAAGACAATATATTAAACTTGCCAATAGCCTAGAATGTATTGGTCAAGTTCTGGGCTTCTTCATGAGAAACCAAAGGATCAAGTAAGTTTAAATAAAAAATACATCGCAGAACTTATCTAAAAGTTTAAGATGCGCACTTCAAAGTTCAGACAACACAAAAAGTTGTATTAAGTCACAGAAATAGCTGAAAATCCTCCTCCTAATAGAAACGCGATACCTTGATTAAATATTAATGCATACCTCAATGAAGCCAGTTTTCATTCTCTTGTTGATGGACTCATTTGGACGAGACCGGACAATACCTTTAACAGCTACAACATATTTAAGTCTCAAGTCATTGATAGTGGAATGAGCATCAGGAAATTCATCTGGAATGGTCGTAACCTACATTTTAATATTTATCAGTACACATGCCATTTTATAGATTATTGCAATGATAAGGGGAAAAGGTAGGAAAAGTGCTAAAACTTTGAATAATATGAATAATAGGAACTGCACTATCAGCAGGAATACCACATATAGGCAAGTTCATCGAAGGACAAAGAAAAACAAAAACAAAAAAGCTTGCAACTTTTACATTAATTTATTCATTGAATTTTTTTTTCTTTCTATCTATATTCTCCAAGGTTAACTGGAATAAAGATGACCTGCTATATACTATCTAAGTACCTGAACGATACCGGTATGGTCTCTAATATTAAGAAATGTAAGGCCACCATGGACACAATGAAAAGCAACCTACCCACATAGCTGGACCCTTTTACCTATATTATTTAAAGACAATTCACCACAAAAAGCATTCTGAGCAACCCATTCAAGTGACTCGCAGTCGAGACCTAGATGTGAGTATTTCAAAAGCAAAAGGAAGTGGTTGTGTTGGAGGGGATGAAGAAGCCAAAGCAAAAAAAAATAGTTCTGCATAAGGGAGGTACTCTGTTAAGGGAATTGGAAATGCTTCTGATCAAGAAGAATGATGGCTTAGGGCGGAGGGCTATCAAAGGCAAGGGTTTGCGGAGCAGAGCCATGCTGCTTCCTCAAGTCACTAGGAATGATATGTATAATAGTATAATTCAGCACCTAAAGATAGGAAGCAGGCTCAGAAAGGGCAAAGGTATCCAAAAATTAAAGTAATGGAAGATTCTAACTTGCTAGAAAATCAAGCCAAGAGAAACCTAACATTCATTGAGAACATGGAATGAAAGAAATCCAGATAAGAGATTGGAGAAAATAGAAGAATTCTAGAATACCCATTGCCCAGAATCAAAGAAGTTGTCGAAAATAGAGCGTAGAACACAACCGGTTGAGTAGCGCGAGTAAGAGCATGAAGTGCCAATGCCGACCTCCAGGGACAAGATTGACTACAGCTGGAACGGCCGAACGGCAACCCATTTAAGCCTTTGTTTTTTTTATTTGGACTTGGGCCTAAAAAATATGTATTTTTAAGAAAATTGGGCTTCAAAGCCCCCCTTTCTATAAGTTCGAAGAAAAAGAGTTTGGATCATAAGCTCGTCAAGCCCGGTTCTCTCTCTTTTCTTTTTTATGCATTTTCCCCTTAAATGCACCGTCTGCTCTCTGTTGAAAAAATATGGGAAGAAAAGCTGAAAGGAAAGAAAATGAAGAGAAGAAAAAACTAAAAAGAAAATATTATTACTCATTCTGTTTAGATAGACAAGAAAAAATAAGAAAAAAAGAAAATGAACAGATATCATAATAACTATAATGTCCTTATATCAAAATATATCATGTTTCATGTAATTATATTTGTGAAAATAAATTAAAAACAGAAATTATATTAAAATTAACATAATCAAATCAATTTAAAATCAAATTATTTGTTAAAAATATATTTTTATATTTTATTTTAAAATCAAATAATTAAAATTAAATTAATGTAATTCTAGACACTTGATCTAGTCAATGGCTAAATTATTTAATTAAATAATTAAATTAATGTAATTTATAATTATAAAAGTTAAAAATTATAAACCAAATTGTTTAATAAAATTAAATTAATGTAATTAAGTAGTCTTTCAAGAATTAAAGCGCAAAATAAATAAGAGAGGGGGGTAGATGGTGAAAAAAAATTTTACTCTCAAAATTTCTCCACTTTAAAAAAAAATTAAAAAAAATAATAAATCTCACGCTCTATTTTCCTCTCACTTTTTCTTTACTCTCATATTTTCTTTCCCATCCAAGCAAAAAAAAAAATCTGTTTTCTCTCTTGTTTTCTCTCAATTTTTTCTTTCCTTCCATATTTTCTTCCCAATGGACTCTCATTCTCACTCAACGCACGCACGGGTTGCTCTCTCCTCTTCGCTCGCCTCCTTCTCTGGCCAGCTCTGTCTCGACGGCAGACTGCTCTCGGCTCTCGTCCTTCTCTGGCCAGATCGATCTCGGCGACAGACTGCTCTCGGTTCTCCTCCTTCTCTGTCCCTCTTGATCTCGGCAAGGAACTGCTGTCATCTCTCCTCCCCCTCTCGATCTCGGCAACGGACGATGGTGCTCACGATTCAAGTGCTCGCGACGGCAAGCTGATTCAGGTGCTCACGATTCAATTCTTTGCTTCAGCGTTCAGGTACCTCTAATTATCTGTCACATTAGGAGAGGAGGTGCTTTGTTCAGCCTTCTGACTGTTTGCCGAGTTTGCTTGCATTCGTAGCTGCTTAAAGGCTTGGGGCTCGAGACACAAGTTTTGAGCTTCGTGTTACATTGTTAACTGATGATTCATTTTATACAATTATAAATTGACAAGAAAAAAAAATTTTATACAATTATAATATTATTATTAATTTTTGATGTACGAAATCACTCGATAAAGTTTTATGTAATAAAATTAAATAATTTGAACATCTCATTTATAATTGATGCTGCTAATCTCTTTAATTTATTTTATAACATAATTAATCTTACATATAATTTTTCAATGATGAGGGGATTTGAATCTAGATAGATGAATATTTTAATTAATTTAAACTTTTAAATGTGTGCTAATTATTTTTTTTAAAGATTTTAAAAATCTTAATTTGTTTTATTTTGATTTTGAGTTTTAGAATATTATTCTGATCTTATTTAAAAGGAATTTTTAATATATTTCATCAATATTAAGAAAAAATTTAAAATTTATTAACTCTATTTTAAAATTTAATAAGTTTTTAACTTTACTTTTATTAAATATGTATATTTTAATAATATATTTTCTCTTTCCAACATTTAATGGAGGGTAAAAAAGAAAATTTATGATAAAAATTTAATAACGTGACTTATAAATAAAATTAAAAAATTTCTTCTCTCTCTACCTTATAAATAAAATCAAAAAAAAAATATTATAATTAATTTATAATACTTAATTTTATTATTATTATTATTATTATTATTATTATTTTTAAAATAAGGCTTAAGGCTCGACATTAACTCCCTTAAATAAGAGTTGAGCTGTAAAGAAGCAGAAAAAAAAGAAAAATCAAGCTTTAGGTTTTAAGATCCACAAGGATTGGGCCCATATGGATTAAGTACATTCATTTCTTAAGTCTATTTGAATTCAATTCAATTTCAAGCTCTTAAATATTTCAATAGCTTAAAAGAATTTAGTCTACAATGAAATAATTCAAAAACTTTAATATGACACTAATTTCACCTTTTTCCTAACTATCTTTTTCATTCAAAATTTTCAAAATTCAATTTATTAAATAACTTTACTATCTAGTGGTTCCATTAGCCTCATTAGATCATAATGAATCTAACTAAACCCATTAATCATTAATACAATCCTTACATTAATCATTTTCAGCATAGAGTTTGCTTAAGTCAACAAAAGTATCTGATAAAATACCTAAATAATAACTACTAATACAATCCTCACATTAATCATTTCCAACATAAGATTTGCTCAAGTCAATAAAAATATTTGATAAAATACCTAAATAATTCATATATACTATTTTAACAATAATAATAAACTCCTAACAACTTTATTTTATCTACCTATTTCAGCCAAAACTTCTTGAATACACATTAATTTAGGTTCCTATATTTTGTTCACATTTTATTATTAATTCTTGTATTTTTTTGTGTTTTTTACCCTTATGCTTTTATTTTTTTTTATTTTAGATCCTTCCATAAATAAAGTATAAAGACCTTAGAGAGATATAAAACAAAAAAAAAAAAAGAATACAGGGATTAAAAATATTTAAAAAAATATAAGAATTAAAAGCAAAATATGAGTAAAATATAAGAACTTAAAGTTATGTTTTTTTAAACTTTTTCTATGATCAAAAATATCAAAAATTTAAAATGATAGGAAATTTTAATTTTTTTTACTGTCAAAAATTTAAAAATAAAATAAATAAATGTATTCAGACAAAAATATTTAAAAAATTTATCTAATTTTTTAAAAAAAATGTCAAATCACACTAAGATTACAATATAATGTAAATGTAATATGGCATCTGTAATTTACTCCCCGAGTCGGACGCTGCTGTTCGTTTCCCTCAGTTGTGCAGAAAGGAAAAGGGAAAAAGCTTTGACGCCTTGTATGAGGTGTCAAAAAGATAATGGGTTGGGATCATTATTTTAAAAAAAAAAAAAAAAAAAAAAACTGATGCCCCCTCTTTCTTTCCTTTTTTTCCCCTCTCATTAATATATATGTATATATATATATATATATATATAAACTCATTTTTTGATTTCCTTTTTCTTTCACTTCTTCTTAAATTCCTTCCTATATATATGCGTCTGTATCTAAATATATTTTTAGATTTTTTAAAATTTAAAAATTTAAATTAAATTTAGGTGTTTTGCTCAAATAAAATCTTCATAATATTAAAATATTTATATTAAGTCAAGTCAGGAAAATATCTTTAGTAATTTAATATAATTTTCCCTAACCTTAATTATTTATAATTTAAAAAAAATCTATGACTTAAACTAAAGTTCTCACAATTTAACCTCACAATAATTTTAATTAATTATTAATTTATTTTAATGTTTTAGTTTAAATTTTTGGGATGTTGCATAATGAAAGAAATACAATGATCAAGCTTCCATTTCTCAAACAGTGTAAGCTAGCCTAATATTCCCTTCATTTTTATATATAAGAAAAAAAATGTATCACACAATTTAAAAAATTAATTAACCGTAAGAATTATGTTTGAAAATAAAAAATTAAATTAAAATATCTTATATTAATTAACATTAGAATACATTAATTATTTTTTATTAATATAAATTACAAGAGGTGATTTTGGAAAGGTGTAATAAATGCTTATTGAAATAAATGATTTTTCTTATATAAAAAATAAGAAAAAAATGATAATTTCTCCTACAAATAAAAATGGAGGGACTTGTATGTTTGGATTAGGAGGGATTTGGATATGAATTAAATCACCCATTTAGGTACACAAATATTCATTTCATATTATATTTCCTATATAGTTTCAAATTTTTTTTCATGTCATTTAAAATTTCAATCACTTCAAATATTTTATTTTTTTCATGTTTTTATTATTGATGTTTATACAATTTTCGTATCTTTTCTTATATTTTGCCCATTGAAATATAATATAGGTAAATTCATAATTTTCAATTTTTTTTTTGTTGTGAGTTTCAACTCATCTCTTTTTCATTTTAAATTTTTAAACTTTTCAAATAAAGAATTTTAAATATATGAGCTTTAAATATAAAACTTAAAATATAAAATTTTAAATCTAAATTTAAATTTAAATCCACTTATCCAAACACTATCTAATAAAATTTCACATTTCCCCACTCCCACTGAACACGAACCATGGGGACGAGGATGTTTCAAGTTGCAAGAGGGAGGAGAGGAGGAGAAAAACTATCTTAGAACCAACAATGCTCAAATAAGTTTGGTAGGAGGAAAAAAAAAACAATGCTCAAGTGAATTAGAAAACTAGTTAAAAAAACTTGTTAAGAAAAGTCAATTGTTAATTTTGTATTATTTGATTTCATTTCATTTCATTTTTTTATGACAATCTATTTTATTTTTATATAAAAATTAATTACATAACTTCATGTCATTCATATTTTGATGACAAGTCATATGAGATTATTTTGACCCAAAAAGTATATAGATCTGAAACTAAAACCATCGATAATGTTAATTAAAAATGTATTAATTAGAGTAATGAATATGAATATTTAAATTAAACTTAATCATAAACTTTAAAATGTAATTTAAAATTAAACAAAACCAAAAACTTAATCAAAATCTTCAAAAAAAAAAATGTTCCAATTCTTTGTTGATACCATTTTTTGTAATTCTAACGCAGGGAAGGGATAGACGACTTCCTCTCCTCCTCCTCCTTCCTGCAGCCAACAACACTCCACAGTGAGCTTTACAGACTGAGCAGTCTCTTCCATCATCTCTATCCCGAGACAAAGCAGAAAGTAAGCAGAAAGTTGATATGGCCACAACTATCATGACTAGTACATCCCTCTCTTCCATTTTCAGAAACCCCCAATTACTTGCCCCCTCCAAATTGAAATTCACGCTCCCCAGATCATCATCCTCTTCTTCCTTCCCTCTTCAGTGCTTGAGACCCATCTTCGTCTCCACAACATCCAATCCTTCTCACATTCCCAAGTCCTCAGCCAATGACATCACTTCCCCCTCCTCTTCCCCACCCACCTACACCCTCTCATCTCCCAAGAACCTCAAAGCTCGCCTCCAAAATGGCGAAACCCTTTACGGCCTCTTCCTCCTCACCTTCTCACCCACAATTGCCGAGATCGCAGGTCTTTCCGGATACGATTTTGTTGTTGTTGATATGGAACATGGTCACGGCGGCATCTCTGACGCGCTACCCTGCATCCATGCCCTTGCTGCCGCTGGAACCGCTTCAATTCTTCGAGTCCCCGAAACTTGCGCCACTTGGGCTAAGAAGGCTCTCGATTTGGGTCCCCAGGGGATCATGTTCCCCATGATTGAGAGCGCAAAAGCTGCTAAGGAAGCGGTGTCGTATTGTCGATTCCCGCCCATGGGAATTCGAGGCTCAGCCCACCCGATCGTGAGGGCATCCGGCTATGGGATCGATGAAGGTTATTTGAGTAGTTACATGGACGAGTTGCTGATCATGTGTCAAATTGAATCGGAGAAAGGAGTGAAGAATGCTGGTGAGATCGCGACTGTTGATGGGGTTGACTGCATTCAGATGGGTCCGTTGGATCTTAGTGCCAGCATGGGGTACCTATGGGACCCTGGGAACAAGAAAGTGAGGGAAGTGATGAGGGCAACTGAGAAAGCAGTTCTCGAGAGCAAGAAGGACGGCAATGGCAACAGCGGTGAAGCTTACTTAGCTGGGTTTGCGTTGCCGCATGATCTGCCCCTGGATCTACAGTCGCGTGGATATCGCATGGTGTCTGGTGCTACAGATGTGGGGTTATTTAGAAGTGTTGCAGTAGAGGACGTGCGGAGATTTAAGATAAGCATCATGGAAGAGAGCTCTAATGATGAACATGAAGACGGAAAAGATGGTGATGAGAAGTACTGGAGTGAATGAGAGACGCATTTGCTTGTTGCTCTTCAGATGGTGCTTTTTTTCTATTTTTCTTGTTAGATTACCTCAAGCTTTGTAGATGTGACGATTTTTAGTGTTTTTAGACCATTCACTCTGAGTTTTTCAATTTCCTTGTCATGCTTTGATCTTGAATCCAAACTACATGTTAGCGGCTTAAAATCTATAATGTATTTGAGTAATTTCACGTGACCATTGTTTTTCTTCATAAATAGTAGTGCAAAGGGATATTCCTATTGTGATGGGGTTGTGTTGCTTGCAGCCTTTTGGCATTCGTCTAAACGCACCCTTGTGTAATTCAGCTTCCATTTTGATACTGGATATAGAGAAACAAAAAATCAATAATTTTGTTTTCTTTTGAATTGGCTTTATGGGCATCCTATAGTTCACCTTGATATAAATCTTAGGGACACCAGTTGCCACCTTATGACTAGCTGAAGACAATTGGCTACTGACTTGCTACTATTCTGGGCATATTATTGAGACAAATTTGCTGACACCCTGATGAATTAATTTTTAGAAAATGTGATCAATGAGTTCTTTAGGAATTTGGCACTACTGTTGAATAATGGTTAAGTATCAAATTATTTGCCATTGAAGCTTTATATAGAATTTATCTTTTTTAAGGAAATAGTTGTTCTGTGCTCATTAAATGATTCAATAAGGAATATATCAGCAAACAAGTTATTGAACCATTTCTTCAAACATGGGAGCTTTCCAAACTTGGTGTGAAGAAGTTGCTTGCTAACTTGGCTCTCTGGAATTGCTCAAAAGCCCTCATTGTTTGCTTATGGAGGCAGTTTCCGTGGTCTGTCCAATCTTGGTACACTTGCTTGGCATGATATAACAGTTCAACAAGCTTTGAAGAACGTACTATATAACAGTTTAAAGTTTTCAAAACTCAAAACCTTCTTACAAGATATGGTAAATAATTGCCTTGAACATTTCTATAGACCTTTTGTGGATCTGATAAGATATCATTTGATTGGCAGAATTAAGAATGTGACACTTAGATGGCTTCTTGGCTGTAAAACTTAGGCAATGACCTCATTACATCATCACATGCAATGATAATGTCTGATTAGCAATCTCATATTTCATTTTTCACCATCAACAGGGAAAGCTATGCTACAATAGCATAGATAATTCCTCATTGTTCAACTAACATGCATTTTTTTCATTCTTTCCATCTTCATCTTACTAAGCAAGATGGAACATGAGGACGTTGAACACCTCCCTGTCTTTTTTTATTCTTACTCTCTCAATAAGTGGGTCATGAGATCAAATAGCTAGTAAACTAGCCACAGTTACATGAATTGCAGTACAATTTTCGTCGTTGCTCTTAATGAGAGGGACATGGTGGTGCTTGCCATGGATGGACATTTGAGTACTTGGGTGGAAGCCCATTGCAAGTCTTAGTGGAAATCGAAGAATCATTTTGCTGGTTGTGTACTTTTGGAAAAACTTGAACATAAACGTGCTCATTTGCCTAAGGATAGAGAAAATCATGTGATGCCTGTAACGTGCGTGTAATGTAATGTCAATTTGCCACTAATAGAATTGGGTCTAACAAAAAAAGGTTAGTCTTTTATGGCATGGCAAACCAAAGTTTAAATTTCCATTAAAAAAGGTGCTAGTATCTATTAATATTTTAAACATAATTACTTTTAATAAGAAAATATTTGTAAGTAACCAAAAACATTTTGCCAACAAAGAATATAGATCTATTTATCCTCTACAATTTTTTTTTTAACAGTCGTCAATTGTTTGACTGATGAATGTATAACCTGATCTTGATAGTGCATTGAAAACTATTTATATTCCAAAAATATAAGTACCTCAATGTCAATTAATCTAAATTTCATCAAGTTGTTTTTGTTTAACTTTTGAAGTATGTCACTTATTTTTTATGTTAATACAATCACTTTCAAAATATGCTAGCATTATACAGACTCAAGCTCAATAGGCATAGTTTGCTATTCATGCACTTTATATTTTATCTTAAAATGTAAATCAAGAGATGAAGTGTTGAAAATTAGAGAGAGAGAGAGAGAGAGAGAGAGAGAGAGAGAGAGAGAAATAGATGGAACATTTTGGTTGACAGCGCAAGAAGTGCTCGCGGTTTACGCTCCATTTTTCTCATAAAGCAATCCATTGTCAAAAGGAAGAACACTTGTAAGCTAAAACAAAACAAGTGAGAGTGTCGAAGACGTGCGAAACGATATTAAAATTCTCCTTTTCACGAGTGTAATCCTATCACTCATCGTTTCAGTGCACTATACTCTCTTGCTACAACGGGACGCATCCAAGTTACACTTGTCCTCTTTTCTTCCCTCTCCACCACAAGTACCGCATCTCTTTCATATTTTGTGTCTCTGAAATTTGAGGTTCTGTAATTCTTGTTGCTCAGGAAGCTATGGTGCTCTTCAAGGTTACTCGTGTAGACACTAAGCCTATCGATGGTCAGAAGCCTGGTACCTCTGGTCTCGGTAAGAGGTTGCCTTCTACTTTTCTCTTTTTACATAGTCTCCCATTCTCCATTTCCCGCTTGCCTTCTACTTTTCTCTTTTTACATAGTCTCCCATTCTCCACTTCCCGCGCCACTCCTTTCTGTTGTTTCTGATCCAACCTTTTCTTCAAGTTGACCTTCTCTGTTCGATTGTTTGATTACTGAATTTTTCATCATTTGATGGATTTCCACTTTGTTTTTTCTTGTTTTGATCATACTTGGATTTGAAATCTCATCATTCGGATCTCTTTGTGATTGTCCTAATTCGATCTGGTAGCTAGCTGCTGGCCTGCTGCTAATGTTAAAGCGTCGTTTCAATCATGATTAGATCAACACTTAGCTGTGAACATACAAACCAAGATCAGTGTGTTGAATATGACACATTAATTGATGTTCTTATCACATTTGATACTGTTTCCTTTTTCATATGCTACTTTGTTCTTCAAAACTCCAATTATTGTTTCATTATAAAATTATTTTATGATTTTGCTTTCTGTGGAAGTTCTTTTCTTTTCTTCTTTTTTTCCTCCCTTCTACTTTTGACTGTAAAAAAGCTAAATGGATGTTTGTAGATGCAGCTTCAAGTACACTGTAATTTAGTCTGTTCTGTGATGGTTTATATATATATATATATATATATATACTGCATTGTTTACAAATGATTCAATCTACTTAGCTAAGTCTGGCTTTTTTATTCACCAAACTCAAGTCTAGCAAGGCGTTAGGTCTTCTAGTAATGCAGACATGATGTATGTGAACATTTGTGTCAAAATAATACGACCATTTAATAACGATCTGATTTTCCCCCCTGCAATTTGAATCGTTACTAGAGGAATAACCAGATTTTAAAATATTTTTCCTGTTGTAAGTTGTGACATCACTGAGACGTGAATTGTTCCATTTTTTTCCATGCTTTGTTGTTTGATGATTTTAACAGTTTAGTGGGGTATGGAGCTCTAGGCAATCTGTCCAGGCCAACTTGGCTCGCTTGTCTGTGCAGTGATTTGTCAACTTTCATGGTACAGACAAGCTTGTAAGCTTCAATGGCTTGGTCCAGAGTGACCTTGAGAACCAAATCATGGAAGGAAGAAGAAGTTGAGTGTATTGGTAGTCATGTAGCGGTTGAGTATGGAGGCATGATAACGATGCTTCGGTAGTCGGTACCATGCAGAAGGATGAAAGAGTACATCATCAGAATCATGGGAGATATGGAACAGTTCAAGACAAGCTAGTCCATGTTGATGTATTTGGGGAACTAGATGCTTAGTTTGAAACTAAAATGGCAAGATATAGAGTAATTAACGAGAGAGGGTTCTTTCTGTGCGATTGCTTGTGAGCGAAGAAAAAAGTGGCATTCTATCTATAGGCCGTGACTTTGTTTTTGGTAGGTCGTGCGTGTATGGATGGCTAAGCTCAACCTAGCTAATGAGTCCCTATTAGAGAGAGAGAGAGAGAGAGAGAGAGAGACTTGATTATTTTCACAACTTAGAGGTGAGTGTCAAATCAATATCAACATCAACATATAAATTTAAAAAACAAATTTTATGTAATAAAATTCTCTTTTAATTATTTTATGTGACAGATACTAGTTTAGCACATAGGTCAAGGATTTCGGAATTGCTTACTTGGCCTTTTCTTTTATTGTTTTTTTCAATCAAAGAGTCGCTTACTTTATTAAGCACTACCACTAATTCAATGTCTTCGCAGTGGGTACGCGCGACTTTGAGTAAAATGAGAAAAGTGCAAAACACAGGGTAAAAAAAAAGAAGATCCTTTCAACATCGAGATTCCTCAGCATCTCTCAATGACCAAATCTGGTTCCTTCAAAATGATCAAAATCTCTTCAATATACATACCATATGGCTTCTAAAAATGCATGCGAACAATTTACTTTTAAATAGAAAAAATAAAATACATTTTGAAAGATAATATACTAGGTTAGGCTAAACGGCATAGCCTATTTATATAAACATGCCTAATTATAAGTTTAAGCTTGCCTTTTTGGTTAAACAAGCCAAGTCAAAATTTAAAGGTTGTATATGTCTCAACAAGCCTATTTAATTATTTTAACATAATCCTCTTTTTTGTTAAATAGGCCTAACCTGCAAAGACATAAAGTCTATCCTATTTAAATTTACGTTTAACAAAAAAGTCAAGCTTAAACTTATAATTTATGTTAAGCCTATTTAGTCAAAATTTGGTTTAAGCTTCACTTATTTCCTCTCCTACGTGATCTTTCAAAATATATTTTTTTTACTACTTAAAAATAAATTGTTGCATTTTCAAAAGCCATGTAATGTGTCTATTGATGAGATTTTGATCATTTGAATAATTTAAAGGGAAGGAGAATCTAGAGTTTGAGTGAAAGATCGTTGAGCTGCTGAGGATCCACCTCTGAAGGAGACCTGGTGAGAGCACACTGAGCAGTAGTGGTTTTTGGGAAAGCAATGACGTCTCTGATGGAATCAGCCCCAGCCAATAACATCACCAACCTGTCCAATCCATAAGCTATTCCCCCTGCCACATTCCATCTTCACCATTATTACTTCAACTATGCACAATCCCAGTAATCTATACATCATGCCAATCTAACAGTTCTTTCGGTTTTTTTCTTTCCTCCTGAGGAAGTGAAGATTGGGGCTATAACTTAATTTAGCATATATGAAAAGCTGCATACCATGTGGTGGAGCCCCCATGTCCAGTGCTTCAAGAAGATAATTAAACTTCGCTTCTGCCTAAAATACAATAGAAATCACGTCAGTGAAACACTCACATCTTCCACAATGCTAAAACCAAACTAGCAAGAATAGTTAACATTGTGTGTATCAGATCATCAAAAAAAAAGGTACTCAACTAAATTTTTGCACAGACAGTTATTTTTCCCAATACAAAATGTGGATGAATACAAGAAGGTCTTGTTGACTAACCTGCTCCATGGAGATGCCGACAATCTCCAAAACCTTTTGTTGTATTTCACGTTTATAAATTCTCAGACTTCCTCCACCAATCTAAAAGATAGAACAAAATAAAACTAGTAGTTATAAATATAGAAATAACAAGTTTTATCCCACTGAGTGGAGTCAGTTACATAAATTGCATGATGCCATTGTGCTCTATTATCAATATAGAAAATGGTGACAAAATCATCATCAGGCTTCAGCCTAAAAAGGGAGAGAATTAATTTTTTGAAACAACTAATTACCTCCACCCCATTGTAAACCATGTCATAAGCCAAGGCCCGAGCAGAAGCAAGATCATTCATGTCTTCAGGGTTTGGAGCAGTGAAAGGATGATGCAAAGCCTGCACTAGATAACAATTTTAAGCATGGCTACAAAAGAGAAGCCTAAACACCCCCACCCACAACCCAAAAAAGGGGGCAAAATACTGATTAGCAATCATTCATCAAAGAGGCAAATTTGCCAACTCATATAATGACTTAAGTCTTGTACGTGCGTGTGTGTGAAACAGAGTAATTAAGACATTGCAGAACCCGGTAAGTTATAGCAAAGGAAATATATTGCTTAACTAAAAACAGAACAGACCTCAAGCCTCTTCTCCAAGTCATTCCACTCAAACAACGGAAAATCAGTGATCCACAAAATTGAATGCCTTCCCTACTCATACATATAATACAGATATCAGAGGAAGGATTTATTAAAGGAATTTATTTCTTTTTGAACATGGGTTAGATCATCAGCTTACATGGTCGATCAAGCCCCAGTCATGAGCGACATAAACTCTAAGACGATCTAGAGTTTTATTTACAGATACATGATGACCCACCGCAAATAGGAAAAGATCACCTGGTCCAGCAGAGCATCGCTTTAATAACTTCTCTTTAGTTGTTGGGTCCATACTTGACACTAAAGCAGCGATTCCCTCAACCTCCCCTAAGATAAAGTATACAGTAAATGATGAAACACTTCAAACATGTCTCAGGCGTAAAGTATTAATTGATAATTGAAGATTCATATCTGTACCATTATCCAAGACCTTGAGGAAAGGCAAACCCTTTGCTCCAGATTTGAGAGCTTCATTGTAAACATCACCTTTCTTAAGAGCTGAATTTGAGTAACCTTTGGCACCAGAAGGTACACATAACACTTTGATAATTCCCCCAGTAGACAAGGAGTCAGAGAAAACCCTGAAGGAAGACCCTAAGAAAATATCTGATACCTGCAGCCAAATGAAAATTTTATTTCAGCAAGAACTACTCATAAGGAGACATCAATAAAACATTATCAACCAACCCATATTACAAAGAATAATGATTCAGACCATGAGACTGCAGCAAGCTTTATTAAACTAAAGAGCTAGTGAACATTGAGGGGATATTCTATAACTAATAACTAAAAATATGCAACCAAACTCTCAAAACGTAATATGGAGGGAGTCAAAGACAAGATTGTTACATCTTTTAATTCAAGATCAAATCTGGTATCTGGCCTGTCTGAACCATATCTATTCATTGCTTCAGCATATGTAAGCCTGGGAAAAGGATTTGGCAACTCAACTCCTTTGATTTCAAGAAAAACCTGCGACAAACACTTCTATTACACCCAGAACAGGAGTATATATTTAAGGTAATCAGCTAATTTAAAAGACAAAAAACAAAAGGAATTGTATGAATATACAATCACTATCCAGTGCCCTAAACAATTTTCCAGTTGCTCAGATTCGTACATAACAGTTCTCAATCACTCACCTCCTAAGCACATTATTATATCTCTTTCCCTTCTCTTCACTTTCTCCCCCTTAAAAAATAGCCTAAAGGAATTTCCCAAGATATTATCATCTTTTATCCTGCCTCTCACTTCCAAGATTTACACTAACATTATGCTTACACAATATTCAAATTACGTAGCATTTTTTAAAATGTATTTTCATAGAGAGGCTTATTAAAAAAAAAAAGAGTAAAACCTAACCTTTCTGATCAAATCTTCATTGAGCGCTAACATGTCCTCTAAAGGAGTAAAAGCCATTTCCATATCTAGCTGTGTGAACTCAGGTTGTCTATCTGCTCTCAAATCTTCATCACGAAAACATCTGCCAAAAGTAGCAGATTGCATCACATTCATGCATAACATTTAAGATGGGTTCAACCATGTATACCTTAAGTAAAATGGAAAACGAACCATATTTTGTAGTCTACCAGGCATTTATCATACTAAAACTCAAATAGCTATCAGAACTTACATCACACACCAGGTTTTGGTTCATAAAAGAAAAGAGAGCTTAAATATATCATGAAATCATATGATAGCAATGGAGGTTTAAACAACTAATAAAAGAAATTCTTACCTTGCTACTTGATAATATTTATCAAATCCAGCTACCATAAGCATTTGTTTAAATAGCTGTGGACTTTGAGGCAAGGCATAGAATGTTCCTGGCTTCACAAGTCACAAAAGAACTAATCAAGAAAACAGGCATGAAGAAACTATCTCAAGCAAAATGATGATTAAAGAAACAAGGGAAAAATAAGGTTTTGGTCCTTATAGTTTATCTCAACACTGGTCAAGGTCCCTGAAGTTCATTTTTCAAGGAATTAGTCCCTAAAGTTTGAAACCATCAAGACGTTGATCCTCTAACCAAACGGTGCTGAACAGTGTTAATGTGATCCATCTGAATACCCAAACTCGGCTCCACCACCGGCTTCAATAACACTTCTGATGAGCGTCAATAGCGTCTGCTTCGCCTTAAAGCTCATGCTTCTCAGTAACTTCTCAAACCTTGGCAAGAGCTTCAACAATCTCGTTGGGCTGCATCAATGGCGGAAACCAACCAAAGTGCCGCGCCTTACTATGGATTATATTCCTACTCAGTGAACAAACTACAAAGCCTCAATTAACGGCTTCAGGAAAGAAGCAAACAGTTGCTTGGTGATGTGTGTGGATAATGCCAACACATAATTCACCCAAGGAAATCGAGCTGAGGAGTCTGGGTCCTAGAGCCGCCGATGAACCATATAGGAAAGGAGTTAAGAAAGATAGGGAAACGTGTTTCTGTGCACTTTAGAAGGATAGGATTTTAGAAACACCTTTTGTTTGAGGAGACAAGGGCAACTGCCATGAGCTCCACTCAAAAACTTCTTGATTGCAAGCAGCTTGTCAAGGACCATAAACCCGGGACAATGCCACTGTCAAACCTGTCTAAGATGCACCTCTCATGTCAATTAGAACAGAAGATGAATATGAAGATTTTATCGCTCACCTTCCACTGGAGTTAGTGATCCTCCCTGTAAATGCCATTGTAGCTAACCTCAAGGTTGAAGCAGCAAATGCTTTCCAAGATGTACATGTCATGTTTAGAAGACTTCAAATCAACGAGGTTCTTGGCTATAGTGTTGAAGATTCCTCCTAGGTCCAGCAACTGTCAGGGTTTATGATCCAAGCATTCTAGCTGCAAGGAAGATGCATAGGCAAGAACGGGCTGAACAAATTCCAAATGGAGAACAAGCATATCCTTCTTATGAGTTCCAACGTGTTCATTCTCATGTCGCTCGGGGAAGGGAATTTTGATTTTGGTTTGGAGTTGAGCCTGGGCATTCAGATAGACCACATTAACACCATCTAGCACCGTTAATGGCTAGAGGACTAAAGTCTTAACAGTTTCAAATTTTAGGGACTAATTTCTTGAAAAATAAACTTTAGGGACCTTGACCAGCATTGCTTGAAACTATAAGGACCAAAACCTTATTTTTCCCAAGAAACAAATTACAAGTTTTTTCCTCAGCCAATGCTATGCTCATGAAATATATTATTCCAAATAACTAGGCCCATTTTAATCTGAGGTAAGTTATGATGTTTATGACATATGAAAATTGTAGCTTCATATAAATCTTATATAACATATTGATAGAACGTGGATTTTAATGTTCCATTAATTTTGTAAAATAAAAATTAATTGACAAGAGAAATAGCCAACCGTAATGAATAAATGGATTTTCTTTATGGGCACAATGTATTGTTTTGAAAATCAGCTTTACTGCTACCAAATACCATGAGATAACAGGCAGATTTACCCATCATGAATCATGATGTAAAAGATCAATGATAATGATGGTGAGGCCCAGATACATAAGGCGAAATATAACCCCACTGAGTGACGCATGGCAAGAGCTAACTCAGTTATAGATAGTCATCTCTAGAATAATATGCTCAGTTAACTCAATATTAATTTGATTAGGGGACAGCTAAATGATTATTTTATTGAGATCAATATGAGATGTGAACTATTGGGATTATTTCAAAGGTTAATTATGAAGTTGTAGAATACCAAATAACCCAAAGCCAAGCCATTAAGATTTTGCTTTCTCTTGTCCGTGAATAGCATAGTAACCCATTAAACAATCTGACTGAAAGGATCACTAAGATTATCCATGCAAATGAAAAACCAACTAACATTATCTTATGCCATTTGCAATGAGCATTTTGTGTATAGAAGTCCATGAAACTTATCCATTGGTTAATTGAACAATTAAAAATCCTATGAATTGGTCCAGTTTAACAAAAGCTTAATTGAAGCTCAAACACCTCATTTCTGCAAGAAGAATATCTTGAAGGTTGATACAAGAGGGGTACAGTTAACTAATTGTTACAGTATCTGAACCAAGTTTTTTTTTTTAAGCTAGATCCGATTTGCAGATAAGAATAATCCAATTCATTTCAGAAATAGACCTAACACCACAAAAAACTTCAGGAATTTTAAGGTCATTGTCTTTTGCATCTTGAGCACCAATGACTGAAAAGCAGAATTGTGATCCGTCAAAATTTATACAATTGTAATTTGTAGATACCTGGATTCTTGAGGGGACCAAATAATCTCGCGCACCTTCTGGAGTGGATCTAGACAGTATTGGAGTTTCAATCTACCTTGTGACCATAAAAGATAAAGATCAATACATGATGACAACCATCAACCTCAAAGCAACATCGAAGCGAACGAGGCACTATAACTCAAATGACAGATATAACACAGAATAATGCACTCGCTATACATTACCTCCACAAAACCATGTGTGTCTTCTAAATATCTCCGAATAAGTTTCACCACTTTATGTCGCAACAATATGTTGGAATTCATTCGGTGCCGCCTTAGATCCAGGCATCGATACCTGCCAAGAAGCAAAAATAAGCAATAGATCTCTCACAAAATTAAATGAATATAAACAAGAGGCAATACACAGTAACAAAAGGACATTCTTAAATTGTCTATGTTCCACAAAACTAATCATACAACACAAATGAAATACCTAACTTTCTAACACGGAAAACATCAATCATAGAATCAATTAAACAAAGCCCTGAAGATCCAATACCACAATATAGTAGGGTATCAAGTTTGCGGACTTTTGATACATTACCATATGAGAAGTCTATTTTCCCGAAAGTTAAATTAAATTGAAGACAAAGTTTTGGCATCACATTGACAACACTTTAATGGAGCAGGTAACAAAGTACATATAGATATACCAAGTACGAGCTTCATGCATCTTTATAAGTACCTCAAACGGATTTCTTCTTTAGGAGATTCTTTTGCATCATCAGCCGTGGTCACTAAGAATGGTAACTTAGACTTTACAGCATTTAATATTTGAACACTCTCTGCAGCAACCTACCACACATTTGCTTGGAGCATTAAAGGGATAAAGCAATAAATAAATCATTTCAAACTAAAGATGACAGAAAATCAAACACCAATTGGTTTAGTACAAAATGGCTTTTTTCTTTGTGTATTGAGTAATAACCAAGGAACATGGTAAGGAATTGAAAAAAATAAAGAAAGAAAAAAAGAACTTTCATACCAAAAGCAAAAAAAAAAAAAACTACTATTATAGCAGCACACGCCATTCTTTCTTATTAAGCTATCAAAAGCTACACATTAGGAGCAAACTCAAGCATCATATGGCTAGCAAAGACAATAAATTTTCAATTTTTTGTTCAATCTATCTCTTCCTCAAATTTGACATATATTATAAAGGAAAAGACAATATATTAAACTTGCCAATAGCCCAGAATGTATTGGTCAAGTTCTGGGCTTCTTCATGAGAAACCAAAGGATCAAGTAAGTTTAAATAAAAAATACATCGCAGAACTTATCTGACAATTTAAGATGCGCACTTCAGAGTTCAGACAACTCAAAAAGTTGTATAAAGTCACAGAAATAGCTGACAATCCTCCTCCTAACAGAAAGGCGATACCCTGATTAAATATTAACACATACCTCAATGAAACCAGTTTTCATTTTCTTGTTGATGGACTCATTTGGCCGAGACCGGACAACACCTTCAATGGCTACAACATATTCAAGTCTCAGGTCATTGATTGTGGAATGAGCATCAGGAAATTCATCTGGAAGGGTCGTCACCTACATTTTAATATTTATCAGTACACATGCCATTTTACAGATTATTGAAATGATAAAGGGGAAAAGGCAGGAAAAGTGCCAAAACTTTGAATAATATGAATAATAGGAACTTCACTGCACTATCAGCAGTATTACCACATAACGGCAAGTTCATCGAAGGACAAAGAAAAACAAAAACAAAAAAGCTTGCAGCTTTTACATTAATTTATTCATTGAATTTTATTTTCTTTCTATCTACATTCTCCAAGATTAACTGGAATAGAGACGAACTGCTAAATACTATCTGAGTACCTGAACGATACCGGTATGGTCTCTGAGATTAAGAAATGTAAGGCCACCATGGACACGGTGAAGAGCAACCCACCCACATAGCTGGACCCTTTTACCTACATCGTTTAAAGACAATTCACCACAAAAAGCATTCCGAGCAACCCATTCGAGTGACTCCTTCAGGTCAACTGGCGGCCGAGAGCTAGATGTGAGTGTTTCAGAAGCAGAAGGAAGTGGCTGTGTTGGAGGGGATGAAGAAGCCGAAGCAGAAAAAACAGTTCTGCATAAGGGAGGTACTCTGTTAAGGGAATTGGAAATGCTTCTGATCAGGAAGAATGATGGCTTAGGGCGGAGGGCTATCAAAGGCAAGGCTTTGAGAAGCAAAGCCATGCTGCTTCCTCAAGTCACCAGGACTGATATGTATAATAGTATAATTCAGAACCCAAAGACAGGAAGCAGGCTCGGAAAGAGCAAAGGTATCCAGAAATTAAAGCAATGAAAGATTCAAACTTGCTGGAAAATCAAGCCAAGAGAAACCTTACATTCATTGAGAACATGGAATGAAAGAAATCCAGAAAAGAGATTGGAGAAAATAGAAGAATTCTAGGATACCCATTGCCCAGAGTCAAAGAAGAAGAAGTTGCCGAAAATAGAGCGCAGAACACAGCCAGTAGAGTTGCGCGAGCAAGGATGAAGTGCCAGTGCCGGCCTCCACGGACAAGACTGGCCACAGCAAGGTGAAATAGATAAGTCCGTAAAAGGACGTCGCTCGACTCCTCAATGTCCGATGGGCCAAGTAGTGATGGGGGTCCTGGTGTCTTGGGCTAAGTATTACCATGCAATGATGCAAACAGAACCAGCTCAAATCGTTCATCTTGGGCCAGAGTTTTATGGTATGAACTTGGGCCAGTAATTCTATTAGCTATTATTTTACTTTTGCATTTGCTTGACTGTGATATCCCAAAAATAAAAAAAATAATCGGGGCCAGTAATGGACCTAACAACTTATTTTCCGAATAATTTTCTATTCTTTAAAATAAAAAAATAAAAAAAAATATTATTTGATAGCATGTTTTTAAGCAGTATTTTAAAGAACAAAAAAATACATATTGTTTTTAAAAATAAAAAAATGAAAACATTTTTTAGATATTTGGGTATTATTATTCTCAAAAATTAAAAAAATAAAAAAATACCTATTTTTATTATTATTTATTCTTAAAATATGTTTTATAAAATATCAGTTATTAAAATAATAAAATAAAAATAATTTTAAATAGGCCCTAGAATCTTAATGCTGTGATTAGCTAACAAATAAAAATAAGAAGTAGAAAAAATGAAGAAAAGAGAAAACTAAAAGGATGTATTTTTCTTTTCATTGTGTCTGGCTGAGCAAGAGAGAAATAAAAAAAAATTTGTTAATTTTATAAGGACAATAATAATTTTATTATTTATAAAAATATTTATATATAATAAAATTTAATATTTTAACATATTCTATATATAATATTTTTATCATATATTATTGATTGAATAAAAATATAATTATAAATTATTTTATCCAATACTAACCAAAAATTATTTTATCTAATTTATAATTTTATTTATTAAATTATTAAATATATAATAATCTTAGAATTTTGAAACTACAACCAAATATAAGGAGCTTAACTAAAAATTTAGAATTAGCATTGTCTAATTAATCTACAAATTTAATATACTGATTGTTTAATAAAAATGCATAATTAAAATGTAATTATACTATAAATATAAAATTTTAAAATTGATAGGTAAATTTGAGAATAGAATTTTGTTTCTCCAAAATCTCTTCATATTTAGTACACTCCCTAAACACGTGCAAGCATCAAATCCTATAAGGACCTATATCATTGATTGGTTTCAGTCTTTTAGCAAGTGGACTTTGAACGTTTTACGCAAACACAGCTAGAAAAACTTAAATCTAGAGCTAACCATCATGTAGATCTTTTTGGTAGAAGGAAAAAGATATTTATATTTATATTTAATATTAAACAAGTATATCAGTGTAAATGCCAGTGATACGCTCTAATCAATCATCTTGACCATAAAATTACAAGGATTAAAATTCATTTTGGAAGAATGAAATTTGTTCTGTTATATCAATGTGTTGTTGCTTTTATTTAGACACAAAACACGCGTATACATTAATCTTACTCGAATTCAAAATTTATTCTCTCTCGTTCTGTCCAAATATATGCATTGCCAGGAGCACTCGATCCTTATTCCTTACACAGTTGACAGTTCCATTAATCATTGAATAAAATAATGTAAACAAGTTCCACAATTTTTTTGCTCGTGATCCTGTACGTGTTTCGCTGGGCCGATGCAGATTCAAGAATTTGAGAAAGTCGTGTCGCAGATCATCCCAACAATAACATGAATCTCTATATATATAAAAATAAATAAATAAATATAGGGAATAAATCACACCGTCTTAATAAGTATTCAATAAAATAATTGAAGACCAACAATGGGTATTTTGTTTTTGGGCAAGGATGATTAACATATTTGACAGGCTCAGGTCAGAAGAAAATTTGCAAATGGCGGAGGAAACAAAATTAGCTCAGGCACCAACCGCGCTTTAATTTGCAGGAAAAGATCAAAGGATGAATGGCAGTTTAGAAAATTTGAAGCTAAATGTTGAGGATTACTAATTAATCCATGTGCTTCACGTACATTATCTCTAAAAGCTGGGGAGCAACTTCACTTCGCACAATGCTGAGGATTACTAATTAATACAAGGGATAATTAAATTTTTAGTCCTTTAAATTTGACTCAATTGTTAATTTAGTTTCTTAATTTTTGTTGTTATCAATTCAATCTTTTAAGTTTTATAAAATTATCATGTTATCAAGTTAGAACAACTTGTATTGTCAACATTTTAAAGAAGTAATTTGTCAATACTTTTTGAAAAAAAAATTAACAATTCCAATATGTTTGTCAAGAAATAAGGAATTGGTTGTTAAAATTTCAGAGAATTTGTCAGCAAATATTCTTTAAAAGAAGTGATGAGATAACCTTATAAAGTATAAAGGACTGATCATTGACAACAATTAAATTTGAGAAACCAAATGAATAATTAAATTAAACTTAAAGAACTAAAAGTTTCATCAGTATCACTTAAAGACAAGTTAGAAACTCCATAGAAGAGTTAATCAAGGATACATGAAAACCAAAGTAAACACATTGAAGAGTTGTGAATAGTGTAAGATGGCATACTCGTCGGCGCTGGGGATCTGAGGAGTAATACAATGTGTGTGTGGTGAAATAAATGAAGAGGCAAGAGGTGAGGTGACAGATTGAGGGTGGGGCCCATGTGGAGTAATAAAGAGAGTAAGACGATGTACGTGAAGCACATGTGAAGGTAAAAGGGGTTGGAGATGATTGGGATGATGGAAGACAAGCGTTAATTCCATGTGAAGTGAGCACGTATGTATAGATTATAGATAGTATTGCCTCTCACTTATGACATGACACGACCCCACTCGTCCTTTTCATGTCACGGGTTTGCTTGACGCTTCCATTTCATTTCCTCTGATCGATCACTCCCAAGCTTTTGCTGTCGAGCTCCAACCTTCGTAGTGCTTTGAGATGCATGTGCCCCTTCTTTTGTTTTCCTCAACACATCCTCTCGTCTCTTCCCACATCCCTCCATTTTAACTTTCCTTTATTCATTTCAATTTCCTTGATCTCCATCTTTTTCTATTTAGTATTTACTATGCGTGGCCAATTTCGGCAGCCAAACCAATATAGATATATATGTATATATATGATCACAAATTGAACCACTTAATTGCACGTTAGGGAAAGGATCAATGGGTAGAAAGAAATTAAATGAGAGAATTAATACAGAATACTATTCCATTATACTTCCCTTGTAGCTCACGAGTAATCTTGGACATGGCAAATACATGGTAGCATTAATTATATGCCTGCAGCTCCAATTATTGAATGCTGGTTTTCTTTTCCCGAATTCCCTCGTCTATACTTTGACATCCAAACACCAAAAATAAACATATTATTATAACCTTATAGAGATAGCATTTGCTTTCATTCCCCTGTACCCTTGTCCTGCGCCTCTCAAACATATATAGCTTTAATTTCTTTACTCTTTATGAAGGTGGTTGGCTGGGTTTTCTGGTTCAACTACTCTTCGCCCCTCTCACTCTCGTGTCCCTTTATATGTATAATTGTATTTACAAACTCGCGTATCACTCATCATTCATTCACACTCCTCTCTTTATCATCCTTCTCATCACCTCCCCCTCCCCCGGCGCCGCCCTCTCTCTCTCTCTCTCTCTAATGTAATGTAACTAATTATTAGACAAGGTGGTGAGATGATTTACATTAGTTTATAGCTTTCGCAACGTAAGAGATCATTCACGATTATCTTCTCTGGTGACATGTATATCACTAGTTTCATATATAGTCTAACTAATTCTGCTAAATTAATTGCGCGCCTCCGTATGTTCAAATTTACCCAGCTTTTCCTCCGTGCTTGTCATCTGAACCTTAAAAAACAATATGTGTGTGTGCGTGTGTGTAAGAGTTCTTTAATTTAAATCATCTCTACAATGTTCTCAATTTTTATTTGAAGTCAACAATTTTGTATTTGTGTTTGTGTTTGTGTGTGTGTAACAAAACACCTGATCATCGTCTTTATTTACATTCAATCCAGACTACAATATAATTAAAAAAAACGAAAACTAAATAATCAAGGCATAAAATTAGAATTAAATAATATTCGCACCTTGCACAGTAAAAATACGACAATTAGCAGGTTAATATTTATTTCGATTGAATGTTATACGTGCCGTTGCTGTTTAAATATATTATAAAAGAAACTCAATTGCTGACGGCTGCTGTGTGTTGAAAATACTGTTAAATCACGAGAATACAAAGGCCGGAGAATGGAGCCGAAAATCCATGCTGGTGTGCAAATATTTGTCGAGGGTTCGGAGTATGCAGATGCATATACTGTGAACGTGAACCGATACCTAACTATCAAAGTCCCCACATTATAATGTTACGCTGCACTATAATTAATTTAACAAAATGCTCTCCACCACCATGTGCCGCCCAAAGTGTGAGCATATTCGTTTTTAAAATTGAGGCTTTTGTTAGTTGTTACTCTCTCCACATTAAAAAATGTGTACCTAGAGGGGAAGAACGGGCAGCATTTTTATGATTCAAAAGAGCGTTGCTTTTCACTACATGATGTACAGTACAGCTATTCTTGCAATTTTTTGCATTTGAGTTTTATTAAAATTTATGTTTGCGGGTTGATTTCACTTTATTCACTTATATGTTTAAAGTTATGCACTCAAATACATGGCTCCTTATTTTAGAGGTCAACCATGATCTTGTAAAAATACATTCAAAGACTCATATTATATATTAAAATTAATTATGAATTTAAAATTATGTTTGGTTAAAAATACTCAAACATCTATTATACATGCTAAAATTAATTATGAATTCAAAATTATAATTTTTTAAAAAAAATCTAAACACCTCTTATTATGTCAAAAATTAATTATGAACCAAAAAATATTATTTGTAAAATAATTTATATGATTTTTGAATAAATTTTTAGAAACGTATAAGTGAAAAATTGAATTAAAAGCAGGTAATAGTAGCTTATGAGATAATCATGTTTTTGAGTTTATAATTGATTTTGGCATATATGGAAGTGTTTGAGTATTTTTAAGAAAATTATGGTTTTAAATTCATAATTAATTTTGATATGTATAATGGATATTTAAATTTTTTTTGTTTTAAATTCATAATTAATTTTAACATGAATATGAGCGTTTTGATATATTTTCACAAAATTATAATTTTATTTTATTTCCAATTCTGCTATTCAATTTTATTTTTCTATTTTGATTAAAATTAATTTTATAAATCAGTTACATACTTCATAACATAGTCAATTATATTAAAAATCAATCATATTAATTAATTTTTTATAATTAATTATACTTAACTAAAATTCAAACACATCTTAGTAGGTCGTTTCTCAGACAAAATATTATCGTTGAGTGACTGGTCGGGTACGTTGCTTTCATTTCATTCAATGCCCCCATATTTGAGTTACTTTTTCTGTCTTTTTGGATTTACCTGCTCCGTCAATGCACAAGTGCCTGCGTTGATTAAAAAAATTAATATCATGTAATTTAATTTAGCTTATTCTGTTATCAGCAATGACATCAATTTTTATCATCATTAATATTGTTTACCTCAAGTGAAACATTCTTTTCGTTTTGTGGAACCAAAATCTCCCCCTTGGATTGCAAGCCGGATAAATTCATGTGGAAACTAATTGATATGATTTAGTTCTGGTTGGCATGTAATTTTGTAAAAGGTTGGTGCTGGACGTGTTGTGGGTTATTGTCGATGATTAGACTAATTATATTAAACCAGATTCTGTCTTTAGACGTTGATTAGCGGCCTGCCATATACGTTTTCACATCCTATGTAATTAACATGAATTAAAAAGAGTGTCAGAGGTGGTCATCAGTCTCTTTCGACGATCATATCCTCGTGCACTGCCTATTTTGTTTTGATTTGTCTTGTTTTAGCGGAATAAAAAATATATATGTAATGAGAATTCAAAAAGATGTATGAACATCATAATTGAAGGGGAAAAGTGGGAGTTACTCATGCATGTGAACATGATCAAGGACATATCTCCTTGTCCATGCAGTTTCTACCTATAACAGCGGAATCCCATCGATAGGGATTGTTGTGGACCATCTCACTTGTCATCTCTCTTTAGCGCATCGAATCATATCATGGTTTTTCATCATCATCGCCACCCTCATGGATGAGAAATCAATTATTTCCGACAATGCTAATTATTTGATTGTTTCATATGGGGTGGTTAATATACGTAATCAATCATAATTCCGATTAATTAGTTTCAATCAGTACTACACCAATTAATTTCATTTACAGGCTGAATCAGTTAAACTTGAAAAGGTCTGTCAAGTAAAATGTTCGTATACAAGCTCAATTATTTTCTTAATGTTGACTACCTTACACTCTGTTCTCTCTAAAATATATAGATGCATCTGTACTCTTGCAGAAGGGGGAAAAAACAAAATTGAAAGCACTCGATTTGAGCTTTAAAAATCGAATCAGAAAACAAAAACAAAAACAACATTAATTTCAGTTTGTCTGCAAAAAAAAAAAAAGGCATCCAACGGCATCTTTTGATAGTGGTTGTGGCTGGCGTTACGATAAAAGGCCAAGAAGTTCAATTTTTCCTCAAATGGTTGAAGTACGCATGCGAAAGTTACCATTTACCAACCACTCACGATGCCCCACTTTATGCATGATGAAAGTAATGTATTCTCCGCAAAAATGATTCAAACTGAACCAAAAATAACTAAATTCGGTTTGATAAAACAAATAAATAAAGAAAGGAAAAGAAACTAACCCATGGGAGAATCAAAACAAACAGTTCCACATTTCTCTATTTCTATTGGTTTTAGCGAATTTCTGTTTTTCACATTTTCTATTTTGACAGATTCCACCAAAAGGCTGGCAAACACAAACACACTCCCATTTTTCTGGTTTTAGAAAAGGATTAAAAAAAAACTACAGGAAGACCAAAATATACATACAGGGAGGATTCTCAGTTCACAGTAGACTACGCAGTAACCCATATTTTAATCACCCTCAGAAGAAGCCAAATCGGATGGACCGTATTGACGTTTTCAAGGCGTTCCCGTGTTAGCGTAATTATTCACGAGCGCTAAGGCATTACTGGTGAACTTCTTCAAGCCCGTGACCTTACCGCACACATCCGCCTTCACCGGACTGTCTGGCACGTCCTCGAAGCCGTCCGTACAGGTCTCCTCGTCCGTCAGCGCCGCGCTCATCCACGTCTGCACGTTGCTCATCTGGAACTTGAAAGACTCCTCGCCGGAGCCTGCGGCCCCAATCTGCCGCATCTGCTTCAAGGAACCGCGAATTTCGTCCACGGCGTCTCCCACGTTGCTGAAGCAATCATGGAGGGCGGAGGCGGCGCGCGAGTTGGCGGCGTAATCGGCTTCCCGAGTGAGGTTGGAGATGTAGGAGGCCATGCGGTGAGCCTTGGAGAGACTGACGGCGATAGCGACGCGAGCGAGCTGGCCGGGATTCTGCTGGACGGCATTGGCGTAGCGAGAGAGGGAGGAGTAGCAGATGTCCGGGTAGAGAGTGATGCCGCAGCTGGTGCGGATGAAATCGGTGGAGTTAGGAGGAGATTCGGCGGGGGAGGTGGCATAGGAGTCGGCGGCGGCGGGTGACGGGTGGAGGAAGAGGAATGTGGATGAGAAGAGGAAGGGGAGAAGGAGGAGGCGGTGGGTCGTCATAGTTGGTTATGTTTCTGTTATTGACTGGCTTCGTGCTTAGGATTGGTGTTTCGGAACAATTGGTGGGAATAGGGGGTTTAAGTAGGCAAGGAATTTGTGGTTGGAATTAATTTATGACCACGGTCATTGAAAATAATTACATAAATGCCACCCATTTCTGTCTGGTTTGCCCACCGAGCATAAACCGCATTGATCCCATGGGGTGAATTATAGGGGAAGTATGGAAGAGGCCGAAAGGGGCATTTATGAGTATGAGGACTGTTATTTGAAAATATTAATTAGAAAATTAAAAAAGAAGGGAGAGAGCGAAGGGCGGGTGATGGGAAAGGTGAGGGAGAGATTTGGGATCTTCTTATTTTTTTCTCTTCATTTCTCTCATCTTCATCATTCATTAATTTTATCATTTAAAAAAATTATTTAACAAAATAATTTAAATAATAGAGATTGAAAAAAAAAATGGAAGAGAAAAAAAACGAAGAGACACCTCAGCCCAAAAGGAGGGAGGGGCACTTGAGTTTTGCGGCGGCTAGTGCTTTCTTGCGATTGGACATTGGATCAGCGGCTGAGGTTAACATCACCATTCAGTTTCACCACAAATAAAGCATTCCTTTCCCTTGTATTGTATTCAAGTTCACACAACCTTATTCTTTTTTTGTCTTTTCACTCCCCCCAATGTTTTCCTTTCTACTATATATATTTCAAATTCATAAAATATTACACCCATGTCCCGTTTAATTATTGGAAAGAAAGAAATTAAATAGAATAAAATATAATGAGTTGATAGAGAATACTAGAAAATAAAATAAGTTAATGGATTAATGGAGAGGTGTTAATTATAAAAAGAAAAGAGCCATGTAATGATATATAGGTGAGAATGGGGATTGATGGTCTTATCTACGTTAATTCCTATTCTCACCTTTCTATCATTCCATGATTCTTCTCTTTATATCTTTCTCACCTCTCTATTAATCCATAACCCTATTTTAGTTTATTTAATTCTTTATTAACACATTCCATTTCACTCAATTTCTTTCCAACTTTAAATTCTGCAAAATCTTTATATATTTATTCTATAATACAGTAAAAAATCTGATGATTTTCATTATTCGTAAACTCTATCAAGTGAGTAATGGTGTGATATATTTTTAGAAACTAAACCACGCATGGGACTCACACTTATTAATATATATATATGTATATATATGGTGATACATGGATGTGAGATTTGGATATGTTGTAAAGTTGAATCTTAATATTGTGTCAATAAGATAGACTGATATTATCACTTTCAACAACAACGTCGTACTTCATAAGTAGGCATCTGGCATCCATAAGAAGGCCCCCTGTCTTCATCATTTAATCAAACACATCAAAAAATTCAATTATTATTTACATATATTAGAACATCCTAAGTTCCTAACTAAAAAAATTAACCCATGAACGACGTCCTTTTAATTTGAATCAACAGCCAAGGGAAAAAAAAAAGATAAATGATAAAACCATCCTTCTTAGTTATTTACTTTTCATTTTTTTAATCTAATCAGATTTTGACTCATTCACAATATAACGGATTTAATTTACACATATTAAAAATGCCTTAAACACGGAATTTCGTTTACTGGACTGACCAAAGCTAGCTTGATTATAATAATATTAAAATTAACATTTAAGGGAAAAAACGTAGCCTTTTCAACCGATAGATAGAGATTAGAGAATCAAAGAGCGAAGTAGGAAGTTTTGGAAAAATATAATTTGTGATGATAAAATGTTAATAGTGAAGTAAATAGAGATGATTGGATTCGGTTTCAGTTCTCAACACCAAAACGCTGCCGTTTGGCAGTGTTTTTTTAAATCACAAATTTATTATAATAATAAATAATTATTATAAAATTATTATTTTAATATTTAATAAATTAATAAATATTAAGATGTTAAAATTGAACATGACAGTTTAAATAAAAATTTTGGTTTGAACGTTGAAAACTGTACTAAAAAAATAAAAAATGATATGAATAATTTAAAATTGGAGTTGAGTCTAATAAAATGAGTCAGTTTTTTATACTATAATAAATCAATGTTTGAATTTCTATTAAGAAAAACACCTATATTTAATACCTAATTATGCCTTGAATGATATTATCTCTAATAGATAAATAACTGTGCAAAATTAATAAAATAAAAAAATATTTTTAGTTTCAATTTTAATTTTTTCAATACAGTTGTGAATTGTTCAGACTAAAATTTATGTGTGAATTATTTAAATCAAATTTTTAATGAATTAATCTGCTCAGATTTAATTTTAACATCTGAATATTTATTTGTTTATTAAATATTAAAATAATAATTTTATAATATTTTATTTATTATTATAATAAATTTGTGGTTAAAAAAAGCAAAAAAAAAAACACTGCCAAACGGAAGTGTTTTGGTGCTGAGCACTGAAATCGATTCTGAGATGATTAACGTGTAATTTAATACATATCCAAACATTAATCCACTGATATTAACAATAGACGATTTATCTTATTACGATATCCGGTTGATGCATGTTTAAAAAGTTGTGGCTGTATGAATATGGCAAGATCATCACTCTTTAATTAATTAAAAAATGGATTGAAACAGATAGACATAGACACAAATGGAATTGTGGAACTATGGGCATTTAATATATTTCCATATTAAATGGCAAGATATATAAAGGAAGAGAGATGCCATAATGAGACATGTAAAATAAAATTATGTTGTGTCTGCTGTGTGTGAGAAGAGAAAGTGAAGCGTATGGAGTCGTAGAAGCGAATGAATGGGCAACAGCCTAACCAAGCAACCAAGACGCACGCCCTTGCTTTCTATGTATCGATCCTTATTTGAAGGCGACAAGTTTCTAGATTATTCTTCTAACTCGGTGTTTGTACCATGCATGTAATTGTTTATTTGGCGCATGCTCTTCTGGGATAATAACTCGTTTCTAAGAATAACATTATTGGTTATATTTAAGAATTTGAATATACTACTGTTCATCAAAGAATAATAAGGGATGTCGCAAGACATGCCAGAGATATAAGGTCTCAAAAAAATAAAAGAACCTAACTTTTAACCAAACACGAGAAACTCAAGCTCTCTTATCACAATTCACTTGGATGTAAAAATGTAAAGTAAAAAAATTTAATGTAGATGCATAGAAATAGGGATACACTAATTAAAGAAAGAGGTGGCGGGTTATACCGGCCGTGCAACAAAAAAATAAAAGACTAAAATTACATGATAAAAGAAAAAATAAAACAAAACAGCAGACACAGAATCTAGGAATTTGATTGATAGTTTGTTGAAATTATGATGAGTGTTGAGAGAGGACTCCTCTATTTATAGAGGATTCTAACATAATACCCAAGCCTCATGATCACCAGTTTTCTTAAATTTAAGAATCACTTCCTCCATCGTGACTACTCATTATGGATGGAGTGTGGATGATTTGATTTAATGACTAAGATTTTATAAATATATTTTTTTAATTAAAGTTGATTAAATTGAGTTGAATTTGGGCCTTCAAATTTATAATGTAGGTGCAAATAGCTACTAACAAAAAAGTCCATTAGAGTCATTTCATTCTAGCCTATAAGAGTGTTTTGAAATTACTCTGTAATAATTCAAAAAACAAAAGTACTTTTTATGCATGTAGATACTCATAATGTATGTACATATGATTGTTACAATATAAATATTTTTGTTTTTTTAGCCATGACAGGAATGTTCTGAATGAATGATCTATAATTTAAAGTTTTTTTTATTAGATGGGTTGATACTAATACGCTAAAGTTATAAGTAAAATCAAACCCCCAACCTTCTACATATTAGAAATTAAAGTCTGCATGTCACTAGACTAAACTAATATGATGCTATCTCTTCTCTATTGTATTTTGCCCCTGACCTTTTTTTAAAAATATTTTTATGGTAATTTTAAAATTATTATATAATAAATAAAATAAAAGATTATAAAGCTTTATAATAAGGTGGGTATGGGACCCACATTGAAAAGATGAGTGATAAATATAAAACTAATATTAAAAACATATTCTTCCGAATCATAATATAAAATATTTTTTAAAAATCTTACTTAATTTAAAATATAGAGTATTGAGTAGTTTTTTATAATTATATAGATAAGTGTGGTTTAAAATTTGTAAATGATTTTAGTTACTTATCTCATTTGCATTTTACTATATTAAAAGTTTTAATTGTCTACTCATTTTCAGAAATTAAATTCATTAAAATATTTTTCCCTTACTATTCTTTTATGTCACAACTAAAAGTTAATATGATGCAACAAGGGTATAAAATCTAGTTAATTTAAAATTACAAGGTGTGGGAGTGGATTGATTATTGGGTTGTTTGGTAGAGTTGGGAAGCACGGCCATGAGGAGTGGGCAAGCGTGACACTTTTGGGATTGACCTTTCTACACTTTTTCATATGCTAATTGTGTGTGTAGTGCTTCCTTTCCGCTGCCCACCCACGCACGCGCTTTCCCTTTCCATGCCATTTTCCACCACCACTTCCCATTTAATGCTCTTTTTCCTCCCCCTCTTCCATAACAATAATTCATCACATTGTATATTTACTCCTTATTCTGTGATGATAATAAAAAATAAAATTTACATGCGTTTTAAATTATTACATATCGTTAAGAAATACTGTGTATAAAAAAACCTCCATTTGCAATTGTTTTTTTTTTCCATCCCAAAGATCTCTTTCCTTTAGTTCTAATTATTATGTCAAAATAATGAATTGAGTTCGTATAGGCAGTAGACTTACTAACAAGAATTTTAAAGTTATTATTTTTCATTATTATTTAATATTAGCCGACCTTATTGCACGAGATCAGAATATGGGCACTGGGGACTTTTATTCCCTGGTCGGAAAGCACGTCTAATGTTATTGTAGAGTTATCAAGTATGGAGTGGCTTGCAAGCTAAGTTCCTTTTTTAGTGTACACAGTCGACGATGAAGAAAGAAAATGGAGTCAACCCCTAAACTTGTTGCGTGAACTAAATGCTGGATTATTCCTATTGC